TTTCTAAGCATTTTTTTAATAATAGAAACGTTCATTTTATTTGCTTTGCACGTGATGCTGTGATTTTGTCTGTTACTTATTTAAAATTTTCACACTGTTCTATGTCTTAAAATTATAAATTAAAGTTAATGACCTAAAACTACAATAGTATATTACAGTACAAGTGAAAAAATTGACAGTTTCATTTACTTGTGTGTCGAATTTGCGCAATGCTTATTAAGGTCCCACAAAATTTTCATAAATATTATGGGGTCCTGAAGGTCGCAAAAAAAATCTGTGATAAAAAGGGTTCACGACTGAAAAAAGTTTAAGAAACCCTGATCTAAATTCAAGCTTTAAAAACACTCATACTTATATATGAATAAACATATAAATGCAGAAAATTAAACACAGTGTAATGAAACAATTAATTACAGATTATGATCAGCAGATTATCTTAGATTTTATAATTTTTTTCAAAGTATATTAATGTGCAAATATTTTATTTCAAAGTTAAAAATATCTAATTTTTTGTTATTGTAAAATTATTATAATCCGTTGTGATAATTATTATATTGGAATTCATTGAAATAATTATGCTCTAAAAAAACTAGGTAATTGTAATAAAATTATTGTATAGTCATGTATTACACTTTATCATAAAATTATGTATATACATAGCAAAATTAAACTTTGAAAATGCTCATAGTTTTATCAGTATACAAATAAATATCTGGTTGTAACGAAAGCTTTCTGCCACAAAATGTTCTTAATATAAAGTTAAAAAAAATGAAACCAGCATCTTTATTGCAGGTAGTAATCGTCATCCAAATCTGTGATTTTTCTGTCAATGGTAGTTTTTCAAAGCTTTTGACCCAGAAGCATCGTGACCCAAAAACAGAAACTTCATTTCAGACATCGTGTGCAAAATGGAAGATGGCACCAGCAAGATGTAAATGCAGGTGTGAAAAAAGGTAGACGTCCGAAGGAGCAATGTCTGATCCCATCGAGTCCGTGAGAGTCCGGCCGGCAAATTGCGGGCACATGTGGGAACATTACCTTTTTGTGTTTGAACTCAGTTCGATGTATCTCCGTAATAGAGCATTAACATGGACTAGCATCTCATCGTACACCTTACTGTTTTGGGTTTAACCCTCTTCTAGATACTTTTTGTGAATAATACCATAGCAATCCCACCATATAACAAAGCATGATATTTTTGTTAGTGAAATTGCCCTTTATGATGCTGCCGACAGGCTCACAGGTTACAGACCAGCCCCTTTTTGGCCGTTGTTGAAGTAAATCAACTTTTCATCACTGACGATCCGGTCCAGAATTTTGTTCTTGCCTTGATATTCTTGCAGGCCTGTGAACATGTCTGTCCTTATCTGCTTGCATCAGCTGGAGCAGCACCCAGATATTGAACATGTATGTGAAGTTTATTCGATGTGTAGCGTGACTAATGAACATGGCTTTAATATCTAATTCCTTAGCAAGCTCTGGAGTGGTTGCATGCTGGTCTTCTTCCAGACATTCTTGCAGTGTTGGGCCTCACCACTATCAGTAGGCCGGCCAGAGCGCTCTGTTTCTTGAATGTCAAAGCTCTTGTTTTTGAACTTTCGATACTGACCTTCACAGTGTCTCATGATACAACATTAATACCTAAAGATGTACACATGATTTGGTGACATTTTGTAGCTGACTTTTTGCAACAGAATTGGAATTAAATGATCATTCTAATCTGGTAACCCGATATTTCCATTTCAGACACCTTATACTTAACCCTTCAGCACACGCGCATCACTGCGCTACGTTGGTACACGCGCGGGACAAATTTTACCCCAGTGTTTCTTTTTCAGAGTTCACCCCCTAACGTATAAATAAATGTATTTTCTTTGTTTAAAATGAATGTATAAAAATGACTTAATTCCGTTAAACCTTTTTTTCCAGTTTTAATTCGAGATAACCTTACTTTAAGTTGTACAAACATTTCCATACTGGTTACCTAAAGTAAGCGATAAAATTCGAAATTTATGCAAAATTACTGACTTATATAAGATACATTATGTATTAGACTTATATAAGATACATTATATATTCTTATATTAGAAAAATCATTTTGCATATGTACATATTTTTTAAACATAAGTGTTTATTATAAAGATTGGTTTGATAAAGCACTAGAGGCATATGAAAAGGCTTCATTTTTACTAGCTTTTTTCCTTAAAACTCAATATAATGTCATACAATATTATTCATATCAAAGAATAGATTCTAAATAGGAATATTACAAAATATAAATAACACATAGGTTTTCCGCCCCCCTACCTGAGTTTATTATTCAAATAATCTCGTTTTGAACAATCCTCACATAATGTGACAACATATTTTTACAAACAATTTCTTAGGGTGAAGGTCTGCTGCATCTTCTATTCCTGCCAACCTTTTTACTCCAGTTTTGAGTTTTTCGAGAGAGATATTATTGCAACCCTTTTCAGGGCATGTTCTTTTACAAGCTCTAATGCTAAATCCTTTGAGAAAAGCTCTTCGGTTCATATTCACTTGGTCATTATTTGATCGATGAATAATAAATGTATTTATACCTGCAATGTTCATTAGTTTGAGAAATACCGTTAGAGGTCAGCGGTGGCATTTTCTTGGAACAGAATAAGTTCCACATAACTCATCAACAGTATAAACATCACCTTTTGTAGAGTTGCAAAAAGTTATCATTTCGAGCTTGAGCTGCACTTTAGACAATGGAGCGATTTGATTATCCTCATGCATGGATGATAGAACAAGAACTGATTTATTTCGCAGAAATTCTTCTGGAATTTCACTCTTATCTTTTTGAAGTGTCCCAAAACATGTCAATTTTTGCTTTTTCAATAATTTATTGGCCAAAGGAATGCTCATGTACCAATTGTCCATAAGTTACATTTCTTTCAGTGCCACTTATGAGCACAATAAGCCTTTGTACAACGTCCAATGCCACATTTGATTGTCTATATAGTCTGACAGGCTGCTGACCTGCATAAATTTCGGGTTGTATGCGTAAAATGTATGAGAATCTCACAAAGCAAAAGTGTTTATTCCATATCTTGGGAGCTTACTTTTATGTATATTGTCTGAATTGACACCTTTCTCTAAAGGGTTCTAATTTTTCGTCTATAGTACAATATTCAGATAAAGAATATATTTTTCGTAGTTTTTGATAAATATTTCAAAAACACTTTTTATAAGTGCAAGTCCAGCCGTCATCTTTATGCCATCAAACCTAATAAACCAGCAGCAAGTGGAATCGGTTGATAGACATTGTTATTTGAAAAACTGTTATTCTGCTTCCGTCAGCTGACCACAAATCTTTGCTTTGAGAAGTGCTGCTCTCAGCACTCCAGCGCAATATGATAGGAGAAATAACGCCTTCAATTCAGCTACATTTGTCTCTTGTGCATCACGTTCTCTAGAGAATTTGTTTCTTATTGATGAAATGTAAATGCTTGTTGATTTCACCAAATCTTCCATTATTTATTCATCAAAAATTTGCAATAAACTCTCAGTTTGATTTTTCAAATTTCTAAAGCTTTTCTTGACACCAGGTAAATATGTCATTATATTGTGCAGTCGTGTCCAAATGTTTTTCGAGGGTAATTATTTACTTCAAATTGTTCCATCTTTTCAAACATAAAAAAATCATCTGATGTCAAAGAAGATATGCTCCCTAAATCATGTGAATCATAATATTACAGGTCAGAATCAGTTTCGGGAGCACTTTCAGAAATATTAACGCACTCAGAATCGGAATCTTCACTTTTGCTATCAGTTTCAACACTACCGAGAAGAACCCGCAGTCGTTACTGTTCTCGCTCATAAGCACTCATCTCAATGAATTTCTCCCTAGAAGTGAAACTTTAGTACATGCGCGGGGTAGCTACAATCCCATTGCACATTCCTTCCCCGAAAACACAAAATCCCATGGACACGAGAAAAATTCCTCTGGACGACACCTTCCTAACCTTGATCTTGAAAAGTACATGAAGTACTAGAAAGGTCACATACGACATTCCCTTATTTTCTAACAAAAGACTATACGTGGGGTGGATTTTAGCCCAGCGCATGTGCTGACGGGTTAATGATAATGATTTTTTTACAAATTTCACAATACAGTGTTTGTTCTAAAGTAAGTCTCTTTCAGATGTCAAAAATTTTGTTTGACAAAATGTGATTAAACAAGCCAACTTTAGTTAAAACCGATATATAAATGTAGAAAACTATATATAGTTTAATTGCAAATGATGATGTGCATGTTATCTTATATTACTTAAAAGTAATTTTTTTTTTTTTGAATCCTTATATCTGAGTTCTTTGAATTCAGTGAAAATAAAAAGGGAAAAAATAAGAATGGAAAAAATAGCTACGATTCATGTGCATCCACCCTATTTTGTGAATAAATCTGTTCGAATGGCACATGCGTGTTTGTGCTCATGCTCATGGCCAGCATGTTTAATCTATGGTTTGCTGTCATCTTGACTGTTTGTGATTAATTCTGCAATTGACAAGTAAATTGCAAGAATTATGCAGTAGGATAGAACAGAGTGCAATACATTAGTATAATTGTTGATCTTAACATAATATAGCTACATAGCAATAACAAAAGTACCATAAATATGGATAATCTTATATAATTATTTGTAGGAAGGTGATGTAAAACACCTCTCATCAGCATCTTAATTTACGTAAAACTCTTGGAAGATTTAATGTGCATGTCTTATTGTGAAATTAACCATTCATTTATTGTTAAGTTTTCACATAAATGAATTTACGACATTTACATGTCGTACATGTGTGTTAAATGTCATTTACATGTGGTATAATTGTAGTGCATGATGTGATTTTTTTTCTAGTGTAGATTACATTTTGCCAGTCTAAGATGGAATTATCAAAATTATTTATTCAACTTATTGTCATATTTTGAGTCTTTTATGTTTTTTCTCCCTGTACAATTATAAAATCTTTTTCAGATTCCCAATAAAAATCCTTCTCAAATAATGGAAGAACTTGTTGAAAAGTTTTTAATTCCAGAAGATAAGCAGGTAATTCTTAATTACCTTTAATAATTAAAAAATAAATGTTTTGTATAACGTTAAAGTGTTTTCATTAAGGTATGATTTAATAGTATTCACTCTTTAATATACAGTTGTGTACAAGCATACTTTTCATGCTCATTCATACTATTTATATTCATTCAAATTCATAATATGAGTTATTCTGCTAACCTAGTTTATAATAGTACTCAGTAGTCTTTAAGAGTACATAATGTGAGCTACTTGAATCCACAATTCATGGCAAAATCCATTTAATGTAAAATTTATTTGAAGCTATGATAAACTAAACAGTCTAAAGTAGTTACTTTAGACCAGTATTTTCTAAGTTAACTGCAGTGCTTGATATATGATAGAAACAGATCTAATCGCTATCTTACGATTACTAGTTTATAAAATGTTGAAAATTTTATTTAAAATTTATAGAGTGCTGAAAGAAACAAAAACAATGCTCTTAGTAGTTTGGAGTGTAATTACTGATTGTACTCTGTAATATTGAGAGGAGCTGTATGAGTATAGTAAGCTATGGAAGATAGAATAAACATGATTTTAAACAAAGTTGGAGAAATTGAAGAAACAAGTCTTTGGCTGCCGAACAACAAATTAAAGAAATTCTGGTGTCGAAAGAAAATTGAAGAAAGAGTTTCTGCTGCCAAACAACAAATCAAGTTTCCGCTGCAGTCTCCAAGCAAAAGGGCAACTAAAAGAAATCCATAATTACAGCATGAAACAGTTCTGACATTTTAAGTTCCAAGCCATCTCTTCTTGTCCTTCTCTGAAGCTATCCACATATGATGGTAGGACCTCCTTACAAGTTTACAAGACTAATTTTTCTATAGTAGTAGATGAAAATGGATGGGATTCCCATGCCAAGGCCTGCCATCTTCCCTGAAAGCGAATACAGCAAATATTCTCCATACTCTGCCTGAAAACCAGAGGTTAGACTTTGAAGCTCTATCTGGCGCATTGGTGCTGTGGCGAGAAGTATTTAAAAGACTATTGTAGGTTTCAGTGTAAATCTCAGCAACAGGAGTCTACAAAAACAACCCAGGAGCTTGCCACAGATGTCTCTTCTCGCTTTTCACATGAGAAACAAGGGAAATCCTGACCTTCATTACTTCATCGATGGCATCCGAGATCCTGAGGTACAGAAAGCGCTACAAATCAAGGATTCAAGAACTGATTTAGTGTACAGTATGTAATTTGAGGCAGCAAAGGAAGAACCTCTTTGAGACTACCACCCAAACAGATTTGTTCATGCCCATGTGAATGTAGAACAAGAGACTACTCATCTAGGCGATTTAACCAGGAAATCAGTTCCTTGAGAGATGGAAAAGGAGTGGTAACAAACCAACTATAAAGTACTGGACCGGCATTGCTGGACGTCAGATAGGAAGGAACTACAGATCATCTAAGACATGGAAAGTAAGATCACTTCCCAGAAAGGAGGCAGAAAACAAATTATTGGCCATCTTGCAGAGCGAAGGTTCCCAGATAGTGAGAAAAACCCAATTTTAAGCACTTCATATTTCTGCAGTGAATAGTGGCAGTAATGGATTTTTCATCATGGGACATATCAGTGGAATTCCTTGCAGTATGACTGTTGATACAGGAGTCAATCTTTATCGTCTTCCAAAAAGATTGGCTCAGCAATGGGAAGGTGAGCTCATCTGGATGCTGCCCCCTGTATTATCTGGATGCTCTCCAGTATAAAATCAACAGCGATGAACATGATATGGTCATCTAAGTATTGCTGACAAGACAGTAATAACTTGAAGCAGTTACCTGCTAGAAGTTTGTATTTGAAGCATTCTAAGCATTGCCTCCATTGAAATCAGGAGGGGCTTAAAAACAGTAGAAAACAATGAAAGTCTTTTTAGGAAGTATAAAAACAAATGGGTGAATACTAATTATTTATTAATTAAGAGGTACTTCATTTAGAATTTCGCTGGAATCGTAGGCGTAAATTTGGCAAGTTCTCTGCCAGTGTTCTTGTTTCAGTGGTAGCCAACTTTCATGCTCAACGGGATATTACGTATGAACCATATATACATCTATCTATAAAAATATAAAAAGATGATTTATATGATTTTAAACATGTTTAAGCTACTTGCATTATAATGAATTTATCATATTTGGAAATTAGTAATGTTCAAATGGTTTTTGCACATATTTTTCTTAGCTTCTTAGTTTTTTAACAGTTAATATCCTTTCTGTCTTCCAGATGCAGCTATTCACTCACATAAGGTTGGCACACAGTTTTTCGGATTATCCTAAACGCCTCTTGTGCGTACAAGCCAGACTTCAAGCCTTATCTATTTTAGGTGAGAAATACTTCATAATTATTTTATGGTTTTAATGTAGTCAAAAGCCTGAAATCAGTATTAGTAACCAGAATATTTTCAAATGTTTTCAAATTGACTATATATGTTTTGCATACTTTCTCATTCTCTCGAAATAATTAATTTTAATTAAGAAAATAAATTTTTAAAGTACACTGCTGGCCTTTAAAATTGCAGCACCTTGAAGGAAAACATACAAAAAAGATATTTATTGCACATAAACAGTATGGCATGAACACAAAACTATTAAATTTGTAAGCATTTTTTAGGTTTACAAGGGTGTGAAATAAGTAGAAATAGCTGGCGCCCCTGTCAGCGAAAACGGCCCTTTACTCCATTAGGCATGGAGACAAACTGGGCTTGAATGACAGAAATGGGCAACTGATTCCATGCTGCCTCAAGTCTATGCTACACTTTATCAACCGTATTAGTTGGAGGGGGGTGGCGAGCCAGTCTCTTAGCAAACCATAACCAGATGTTTTCAGTGGGTGACAGACCTGAAGACCGTGCAGGCCAGGCAAAGAAAGTTTATGTAAAGAAGGAAAGGCTCCATAAACGTAATGTAAACCAGTTTGTTTTCTATGCTGGAGAGGCATAAAAGACAAACTGGTTTACATTACGTTTAGGGGGAGAATTCACCAAGGGATTTGGCGATGGAACCTGTTGTCAAGAATTTCCCCCTTTGAGATGTACCGGACCTGGCCGAGATTTTCCTCCTCCTCCACCACGTGTACAGAAAATTGAGGAACAGGGGTTAAGATGAATAAAAAAATTAGGTGAAGTTTCACTTTCACTGGCTGTTGAACTTGCATTGTCCAAATCGCAGTTTGATGTTATATCCGTCCATATGGAGGGAAAAAAAATGGAGTCATACAGCTTTAAACTCTTGATAAACATGACTGTCGAACCTGTTCGAACTTCGACATCAGCTTCAAGCTTTGGCGCTTTTTGGTTACAGCTGTTTCACGCATGCGCAGCTGTTTCCCTTTTCGTTCGAAGGAAGCCTGTCCTGCTGCTGCGAAGTTTTCCTTCTTAACAATACATATTCTTTGGACCAGGGTAGGAGATGAATACCCTGAGTATCGAGGAATGTCAGAACTTGACATGCAACATGTGGCCTTGCATTATCTTGTTGGAACATGCTGTTTGGGGGCCTTGAAAATAGGGCACAACCACTGGACGTAAGATGTCAGAAATGTACACATCTGCATTCAAATTACCCTCGATCCCAACTAGAGATGTGTGTGTCATATACCTAGTGGCTGTCCAAATCATCACACCAGGTGCAGGGCTTCTGAGCTGATATCGAATGCAAGCAGGCGAAGTTTGGTCTCCTCGGACACTCCAGACACGTATACAGCCATCAGAATACTGCATGTAGAGCCTGGACTCATTTCAAAATGTGACATTGTGCCATTCCTGTACCCAGCTTTGTTGTTTGGTACACCATAGTCCTCATCTCTCTATGCTGCATTTTATCAAGGGAAACCAAAGTAATGGTCACCCTGCTGATAGTCCACACTGCTGCAAATGTTGACATACCTTACGAGCTGATACTAGGTGTGTTGCAAAGATGCCTATTTCCTGTCTAATAGTCCGTGATGTGGTCGTGCGGTTTTGCAGGCTAACTTCACAATATGTCTGTCCTCTCTGGCGTTAGTCTTGGGAGGGCGTTGATATCCTGCATGCTGTTCAGTATGAACCTCAGCAATCCATTGATTCCATATTCCCATTAGAGTGGTTGGATGTCAGCCAGTGCGAATGATAATCTACACTATCACAGAACGATAATCTATACTTTCGATAGGCAACAATCCTGCCTCTATTGAATTTCAAGACTTGCTGGTAAGCGTTTCCTCTTCTTAGTCGAGGCGTAACACAATAATCTGAGGGGAACTCCAACCTCATAAAGCACTTTCCGAGTGAGAAATGTACTACACAAATTTTCTTTTATGCAGTGCTTCAGATGTCGCTTCTCCCTCCTGTGTAGCTAAATGCACTGAAATATTAATCATTTGTATATCCCAACCTCTTCTTCCTTTCATGTGAATTTGACGTTCATCAGATCATTTCTTCCTTATGTTGCAATTTTAATGGCCAGCAGTGTATATTTACACCTTAAATATTTTTGGGAGGAAGACATTTCTTATGAAGTTATATTCATTATAAAAAAGGTATTCATTATGTACCTTTATAGTGGATTTTGATTTATCTTTTTTATATATTTATATTACATATGGTATTCTAAAAAAGTAATCTTGTTGAAGGTTTTTCATAAGAATTTTATGAAAATAGTTCTAACTAAATATTAGGTATCTGCAAAAAGATAATTCGGGTTTAGACTACAAGTCTACAAGATTTATCATGTATTCTGGTTGATCACTGAATATCGATTTTTGGCTTTATAAAGCATTCACTGTAGAAAATATATCATAGAAATAAATGGAGATTATAGAGTACATTAAACCATCTTGATCATTTACAGTAAATAATTTGCATTTGTAAGTTTCAATAACATATTTCTGGAAAGATCAAATTTGTTGTCCAAATTTGGGAAGCCTTTGCGAAACTTGTTTCATGTAGAACTAAATTATTCTGTGCCACAAACTCAAAGTTGCTTTAAAGTTTTCACTTTCATTTGCTTCCCACCTTAAGGCAAACTATTGTTGCTGTTTCTTGTTACAATTAATCTAGTCCGATTTTATATTTTGTCATATTTATTGGTGTGACTTCCATTTTTTTCCCTTTCACTTTATGGAACTTTCACCAACACCAAATATCACAGCTGCAGCACAATTTCCATTTTTCTTTCATAAAATGTATGGCTTTGCATTTGAAACAGACACTAGGTTTGTTTCTTTTCGCAGGAGCCATATTTACTACTAAAAGGAACACTAGATCAAGTTTTTCAACTAAAGTAAATGAAATTTACTAACATTCAAATTTCACTTCATAAAGGCTACAAATGACTACAGAAAGGTAAAACATCTAATTCCACCAATTTGTTCAGGGTTGGAAGTGAATTCTTTCTCTAAAGTTATGTCCCCCTTTTCTCATAACCCTAGAATAGCATTCTTGTGCACATCTGCATTGAAGGCAACTTACCCTCATTGCAGAATTATATACTCCCTCAAGCATTTCCATCATACACATATTTTCCCCTTTATTGCTTGTCAGTTCACTATACCATTGCTCAAAAGCATGGGAAAAGTCTTCAAATGAATGACCTCTACAGATAAGAATATCATATGTATCTCTCATGTTTCTTCATGAAGAAAAGTTTGCATGTTATATGGCAAATATACTTAAAAAAATTTTAAAATGTAGTTTTGAATTACAGGTATGTTTTACAGTGGTGTGCATTAACCCTCTCGCTGCGTGTCCCACGATTTCCATGGGCAACGTAGAAGTAGCAAAATTTGTGCAACACGCGATTTCCGCAGGGATGCATATTTTTTATTTATGTAACTGTACAACCAGCTGTTTTCCCGTTCATGGTTTCATTTTGACTTTTCTGTGATGTTTAATTATTTATTCAGATCTGGGTTAACAGATGGCATTAATTGTCCATATTTTTGTGAAATATACAAACACATTTTGTGCGGTCTTTTCGAAGCTCTGAGATGTCTGTAGTTCAACTCTCAATCACGTGAGACTAACTGCTTGACATTTTGCTAGATATATCTACACCAATGCCATCAAGAAAGAAGCTCGTAGACATTGTGCTATTTGTTTCTAAAAAAAAAAACTGAAACTGGCAAAAAATTTTTTTTCAAAGAAATGTGTATTTGGTGCAAAGATGGCGAGATAGAATGCCTCAAGCCTTGTTTCGAAGTTTATCATATTACACTTCATTTCTGATAAAATATTTTGCATATTTTCGTTAGAATATATGTTTTACCATTATATTATATAAAATAAATCATAATTTGACCAAGATTAATTTTCAAAATTTTTCTTTTATTTAATTATTCTTCAATTTAAACTTTCCGACAACCTTTTTTCATGAGCTAGTTCTATACTTAAAAAAAAACTCTTTTACAAAATCTTTTTGTGTATTTCAACTCTAAAATATAAGTAGATTTGAAATATGTAATTAAAAAATTATGCAGTTTTTGAAAATACTTCGATAAAAATATTATGCAGTGAGAGGGTTAACGCCGGAATATGGTATTTTTGAAGTAACACTGTCACGCAGCACGAAAACCTTCCCGAAAACTTGTGCCTTTTGTGCAAGAACTTTCAGTTTTTATTTCAAATTTGGCAGCTTTGATTATATATATATATATATATATATATATATATGTATATATAGTTTCTGTGGAAGGAAAGTATTTATGGGTACTTATAACAATTTAAATGACTAGAATTGGAGGAGGTACTGGGAATAAATATCCCTTTTTATCACCTTTTTGTGCTTAGAATAGTTTTCCTTTTTTCATCACTTTCTGTGCTTAGAATATTTTTGAAATTAAAGCACGACCGAGGTAATTGTTATAACATTAAACACGTAAAACATAGTTTAGTATAATACTGATGTGTTTCCATAGTAAATGCTAATCTGTTATAACATTCATCAAAGTAACAGATTAGCATTTACTATGGAAACACATCAGTATTATACTAAACTATGTTTTACGTGCATCTGCTGAAGAGTATAGTCACATTACATGTGTTCTGCTAAATTAATTTCAGTACTATGCGTCATGACAATCTAACCTAAGAACAATGCTATTGGTTTCTTTTTTATCACAGATATGCTACTTACTTTTATCTCAGTTTAAAAGGATTTGCAGTATAAAACCACAAATAGCAGAAATAATGTGCAGTTCTTGCTGAGCCTTAAACTTTTTTATGAAACATTATTGAATGGGGAATGTTTATCAGTAGAAGGCTCCCTCCACTTCATCCATCATTTATAATGCAGTGTTACAATGAGCCACATGTTTTTTCCTAGGACCACAGCTGCAATTATGCATGTGTCAGAACAAACAAATAATTGTAAGATAGAAAAATATCAAAATCATCCATTAAAAAACTTCACTAAATACTTTACTTCGCTGTTTGGAGTTTTTTACATAAGAAAATTCGCATGTTAGTGAGAATTCCGTGAAAAACTTGGTAGATTGCTTGTTAAATAGACATTTCGCATTATATTAAGACATTTGTTGTTATCTGTAAGAAGCCAAGAAAGTTAACCTTTATTGTGAAATTACAAGGAGTAAAATTACATAGACTTATTTAAAGAAGTCAAAAAAAAATTTTGTGTGAGCAGTGATGATGCTCGTGGAGTGCTATTTTTAATATTTAACCTAAATTTTGTTTGAGTTGCTGGAGCAGTTTTTAATACTTTTTGCTCAAATACTAAGAATGTTTAGTTAATTTTAGAAAAATAAATACAACTAGTTAAATTAAAATTTAGGATATAATGTTGAAGTAAATTTGTTATAGTGTGAAATCAGTTAATTTGTAATGCATATTATTGTGTTTTCTAATATGACTTATGGCAATCATAAATCTTACTCTAGTTTTAAAATTATAGTTTACTGCAATGCAGTTCCTGACAATGTAAATTCACTTCTCTACAATGGCCTTATTGAAGAACTGGTTGATGTTTTAGAACTGCAAGATCAAAGTTTGATTGTGAGTAATAAATCAGTTTTAATTACTTTAGCGATACCACTAAGCTGATGAAAGCTATTTTATGTGTTGTTTGCATTTTCTTTGTCATGTGATAACTTGACTGTTAATACTTATTACTAAGTGTGGTGAAGGCATCAGAATAGCCTGGAAGTTGATGGCATTTGCAATTTTGCATGTTTCTCTTTAACCACTTGCGCTAAAAAGACATACCACACATGTCGAGGCGCTTTTGGCTCAAACCACGAGCGACGTAAAGACCGCGTCCGTAGGCATTTATCGCAAAAATGAAAATAATGTGTCGCACACGTCACCTAACAATGAGATTGTTTATTTCTCGAGTTACAGCTCTGGATTGCACTCGCAGTCATGGAGCGGCGTAAATGAGACACTTTACCGCGTGTTATATTGTAGCGCACGGCACCACAACCGTGAAGTTTTATTGTAGCGCAAGTGGTAAAAAATTACACATTAAAGTAATAAAAGAAATTAAATTACTATATGATAAAGAAGTATCTCATTGCACGACTGTGCCAAAATGCAACTACTGTATTTCAGAAATGAAACTACTTTTGTTGCAAGTCATGTCCTATATAAGGTCAAAGAACCTGACTTGTGAGCTGCAGTTAAGGGGCCTGAGAGCCAAATGCGATTCACAAGCTGCAGTTAAGCCATGCCTGATCTATGTAATTCATTGTAGTTGTCTTTAAATATATTATATATGTATATATTTACTAGGATATTGTTATTTGTATTAGAAAGCTGTTGGAAAATTACAAGCAGTATAGTATCTTTTGGGATACTAATTTAAACTTGGAAGTTTGGCAGTAGTTTGATTTTTAATTTGGTTCTTTGCAGAACAAAGTGGCAGCATGTGCTTTTGTATAGCCATGCATAATGTAAATATGCTCTTGTTCCTAGATATTAGCCATTTTCTAATACATCTTAGGCATTCTAGCACTTTTGTAAAAAATTATGTAGCATTCGATCTTATTTTAATGTTATGTTGTCTGTCATACTTGATAAATTTTAATGAAATAATAAAATTTTTAAATTTAGGAAATAAAAGCTGCTGCTTTAAGGACGCTAACATCTATTATTCATTTGGATAGAAGTCCTAAGTAAGTTTAAGTGAAAGCTTAATTTTTTTTACTTTTAACTGTTGTTTTGCTTCTGAAAGTGGTCTCATATTTTTAGTTATAATGGAAAGTTTATTTTTTATTTCAAATGTTATTGGTGGGTGTAAAAGAAACTAATTTATTTTAAAACATTGTACTATTTCTGCTTTTGCAAAATTAACACATGAAGTAAAAAATTCACATTAAATCTGAAAATGTATACAAAATTTGAAGTTCTGTTTTGTACAAAATGGGTGTTTGTAATTAACGGTGAATTATATATTTTCATTAATGTTCAGTAAAACTTAAATTGTGGAAAGTGTTACTGTTTATTATTAGAAATATGGTTTTGGGTGATGTATGCATAGCATTTTGATGTCCAGCTAATGAAATGTTCGACTGAAAAAGAAGAGAATAAAAAGAAACCTGTTTGGACAAAGTACTCTGTAGCAAAGTCAGTGTGTTGCAAGGCCATTTATGTCATGTTTGCAGATATTTGTATTTCTGGAAGTAATGAAGTCCTCAGATGTTTAAAAAATTGATTCATTACTGGCAAAGTGTTTATTGGACAAAAATGGCTAAGTGGCTGAAGACGATGGCAATAAGTTGGAAAATGTGGGGAGGGTATGGAGAATGAGGCGGCATAATTTCTTATTCCAAATTATTGATTTGCACTGTGATTGATGCAGTCGTTTGTGATCTGGTGGTGTTCTGAAGCAGTTTAACTTCATGTTGGTTCCTAGGTGCTAGTTGCTTAAGGCATAATTTGACTGGCATTTGTATTATGTCTCTACTGTATTGGGCTGGATTTATCACTTCATCTGTTGGAAAATGCTGTAGGGACTTCCTGAAGCGTCTTCCTTTCCCAGTCATTATGATGAAAATGCAAGATTGTTTTAGAATATTTGCTCCTAATCCACAAATGCAATTCATTGCAAGAATCTGTCGTCTTTACTTTCTAAGAGAGAAGAGGACACTCCCAAAACCTGTCCTTTTCTGATTAATAAATTTGTCAGGTACCCACTTTTCAAGTTTCCATACTTTTTTATTGCTATCAAATACCTTGGAACAGTTCAAATGTATGCATCTTAATGTGCAGGTCATTTAAGCAGTTTTATAGATCTGATTTGATTGAATGTTTTAGTTCATTCCAATCAATGGAGATAGGACGATGGCTATGAGGTTCATTTTATAGACCTAAAATCTAATGAGTGAAATTTTACAAAACAGTGGTGAATGATTCTCTCATTTGCTCAACAGGTCATCGAAGGAAATTTTTCTTAGAATTTTCTCTTTCAGGATATCTGATTGGTTGATTTGTGCAAATATCAGTGCTTTGGAAGGGAAGGACATACGAGGGCAGAGCTTTACGTGAAGCATTTTCAGTCCAGTTGTAATTGTCTTGCTTACCTAGCTGAGACATTTGTTCCAGTGAAACATTTTCAGCTTGGAACCCTCCAATGGTAGGAAATGGAGGAGCTCATATCTTGGAAAAAATTTGTAGCATTGCTTGTTGCTATATGTGATAACCTCATAACAGATATAATTAATGTAAAATTACAATAAAAGAGTAAGCAAGTCTGATATAATATGTAATTTTAATTAGTTTGTTTATTTTTAGGAAAAAAGTATTTTTGCCAGAAGTGAATGTATGTCTTTAGCCTCTAAAGATGAATTCAGCATCCATGAAGTGTCAAATTGATGTTACAAAATTTTAGAAGTTCCTAGTTCCTTTCTAAGCCACATTTCCTCTCTATATAAAATTTGGATGCCGTGTTCTGGCTATCATGATGTGGGTGCTTCTAAGAATGCTGCAGGTGTAGAAATTCTTGTTCTGGGCAGTGCAGGAAGCTGAAGTAGAGAAATGGATGTGACCAAAGTCACAGGAGCTCTTGAGATGACAACTGATTGGTGCTGGGATATTCATCTAGAAATGCAACATATTTGTAAAATATAAAATAAAATACAAATTAAATACATGATAATCTTCTTGGTTAAAGATTCAATATTTACATAAGTACGTAGTTTCAGGAAAGATTAAATTTTTGGAAAAATAGCTGAATACCGAAGTGCACAGGTCATGTGGGAGGCCACCCTCTAAAGTGCTCGCTTTGATGAATGCTGCTTCATTTTTGACTTGGAGTACAGTCATCTGAGTAATTACAATAACAATTAAGTGGGAAAGATCTGATTGCTGTTCAGAATAAAAGGAGCAAATGGACGGAGATGTCTCCTCATCTAATATTTCATAATTAAATAAGTTAAATTTATTCAGATGTTCACAGTCTTTTGCTTTTCTGAAGAATTTGTCATTTGTTTTGCATAAAAAAGTATCCAGTGGCTCGATTTTTAAGTCCTTGTGCAGTACTTCGATCCACACAAAGAAATGAGTGTTAGTTATAATTCTTAAAAAGCGATTTTGCACAACTTGGAAGTTTATTTAAATCAATTCTTTACACTGCGTCCCAGGTTAGAGATGCATACGTCATGATAGGTCACAGAATTCATAGTTAAATTAATCTCTTTTTTTTTTGCCAAAATTTTAGATTGACATGTTTTTCCTTCTGGGCATACAGAAGGGGGCATAAAATCTTCAGCTGTCCCTGAGCACTGAAAACATTAGCTACGGCTCTGTGCATCACAAACAGGGCTGCTGCTATGCATTTTCTACACAAAGAAATGAGTGTTAGTTATAAGTCTTAAAAAGCGATTTTGCACGACTTGGAAGTTTATTTAAATAAATTCTTTACACTGTGGCCCAGGTTAGAGATGCATACGTCATGATAGGTCGCAATCAACTAAAATCTATCAACGATATCCGAGGACAGATGGACAAATTTAAATTGCTGATGCAATCTCTGTGGATCCTAAATTCTGCTGCCTAATTCCTTCCGAAACTGTAAAATGTTGTCATTTCTAGATTTTGTTGCTTGATATGTGACTAAATTCTAAAATTTCTGCTACACCGGCTCTGTAATGGGCCCTTACCATATATCATTTCATATTTATTTTGACTGTACTAAAGAAAAAAAATTAGCACACTTTCATGTACATTATAAATGCATTTAGTTTTTTAAAATAACAGAAATCTTTAAGTAAATTTTTGGATTTTATTATGAGTTTTTTTAATTGTATCACTTTTAGATTGTTTGCCACAACCAACTTCAATTCAAGGGCAAGAGGTTTTAAATCGTTTCTCCCCGTACCCAAAAGGGACATTTTGTCTTTTGTGAAATTTAAATACTGTCGTAAAGTCTCAGTTTAAGTTCACATTGACTGTTAAAACTTAATATTCTAATTTAATACATGTTTGAATTTTAAATGTATTTAAATTTGTCCATCTGTCCTTTGATATCGTTGATGGTTTTTAGCACTTAGTGTCATACATAAGAAATCAACTTTGCAGTAACTGGAAATAAACACTACTGGTTCACATTTCTTACTATTTAGACATTTGTCAGTTAAAATTCTAATACTGGAAATAATCAAATATTATTCAATAGTTTTAACTTAAGATTACTAATCTTAATTATATATATTGGGGTAGATGTTAGCAATGTACCCTCTCCGATAAGAAGATCCATTCCTTTCATATAAGATAACAAAATGGCTATCACAATATCTATATAAAGTATCCTGAAACAAAAGTTAATTCGATGCATTCTGCAACTCTATACTGCTGCCGCAAGTTGGGGATCAATTTTCCTTGTATTAATGCTTAAAAAAAATAAATCAGGAGTTAATTTAAAAAAACATTTTAGTAACACTTAACATACAGTAAAAGATATGGAAAGTTTAAAGTTTAGGGCATGAGTTCAAACAGTAACTGCTCACTTCTACAGCTCATGTGCGTTGAACTAAGTATTTTTTTTATATCCTCGGTAGAGGGATTTACAGACGACATTCTTTTTTTTACAAAACTAATATGTGAATTTTTACATGTTGTGTGTGATTAAAGTGGTAATTTAAATCAAGCCGTGATAAATTCAGTTATATTTTCATTTGTTACACCTGACTATAAGTGTGTATATGAAATTCACTTTTTTTAAAGTTTTTTCTTTTTTATAGATTAAATGCTATAATAGATGCAACAGGAGCAGCTTCTTATCATGGTTTCTTACCTGTACTTGTTAGAAACTGCATTGAAGCTCTTACAGGTTAGTATTTAAAATTTAAATCCTCTTCAGAGAATTGTATGAATGTATTTTATGAGTCATACTATATACTTCTTATCTCTGTGTGTACAAAGGAATCTACAGTACTCATATACCAAATTTTTTCACTTAAAAAATATGAGAGGATGGCATAAATTTGATTTTCACAGCCCTAGTATTGCACATATTCATCATTATATGAATTATAATTGCAGTTTTCATATTTCAATGGTTGCACGTTTTCATATCCAGCAGCTGCCAATCCATCTGCCAATTGAAAATGTAATACACTAAATTCCTGGATTGGTGTTCATTGTTCACACGTTTTTACAGCATCATTACATAGCTATTTGTGACTTGTAAATATGCTATATGTAGATTTATAAATATACCAACATTAAAAACTTAATAGATATTTGTAGTTAAATTTATTATTTTCAGAATTTCATGTATCCCAAAATTTTATAACCTGTTATATACTTTCATTACTTCAAGTAAGGTAATTTTCTATTCCAAAAGTCATTTTATGTAGTTGTGTGATCATTAGTAAGAGCATAAAAGTTTTTAAATTATCTTAGCCATTAAAATTGAATGATAATTCAGCATAAGCGGCTAAGAAATTCAATTTCATTATTTCAAATATCACAATTTTACCATATTATGCAAGTAATATTTTTATATTCTCAGAACATAAAAAATTGGTGACTTAATGCATTTTGATACTTGTGCCCATGTAAGTCCATAGGCATAAGATATAATTTGCTTTCTAGATTTTCATTCTTATTTTGGTATAATTTTTAAGCTATTATTTTCTATATTTAATGATAGCATGAAGTATAGGTGTTCTTTAGGAATTTTGGTTTCCCAAATGTGTATTTCGTATAAATCCAGTGTTTATTTTTCAGCAATTTATTATATTCTAATTACTGATTTTCATAAGTCTTTCAAATATCGGTCCAACAGCTTTTTAGATCACATATCACATTTTAATTTTTTTAAATATATCATAAGAGTAGTGATTTCAAAACTGAAATTGTTTGTGTGCCAGATGCAAGATCTGAAAGCAGCTTCCAGGCCAAGAATTTTTTTAAAGAAAATTAAGGGAACATTTTTTAACTAAATTAAAAAGATTATTTACTTAAACTCTTAAGGTGGCCAGGAGTTTGGCCTTCAAACCTTAAACTTCCCTCAAAAGACACATGAATAATATATTTTCTTAATTATAATTCCAAAATAGCCATCCTACTTTGTTCAATGACTCTCTTCCTTCCAATGTATATGTTTATTTGATTTTTCGGCCACTGTTTGAGATGCCTGTTTCTGTATTTGGAAAGTGTCATGACAAATGTTTTTTAGTGTATCTATATGGCTAGTCCGTGTAAAGTGTTAATATTCATCAACATAATAAACATGCATAAAGTGTAATAATGACTGAAGGAAAAAATTCAAATTTATGTTTATTTTCTTTCACAAATCTAAAGGTTGGTTTTTGCAAGAAATTTGTGTTTGTTATACTTCATAATTCAAGTGAATTGACAATTAATATTACATCATCAGATGGACATTTATTTCATATAATTAATTTCATATACTTTTTAACTAAATAAATTAAAAATGACTGAAAATAAACAAGTTACAAAAATCACTCCAAATGCAGCAAAATTTAAAATAAACCATAGCAATCCATTCTCTTTTTATTTATTAAGATTTTCTTGAAAGTATACAGGAATAAAGGTTTAATCCTTTATGTAAATAACAATGAACTGCTTTACTTCTTACTACAACTTTTACCTACACCACCTGGTGGCATGGCAATTTGTATAAAGTTTGTAACATTAAAAACTATCTTCATCGTGGACTGTAGATGCTCATTCTGAATTGTTTGAAATTATATCAGATTTTTGTCCCAGGATAGTTTTCAAGTTTAAAAGGAGATTACTATCACCCCTGCAAGTTAGATGCTGATTAGATCTGTATGTTTATGCAAAAATGATTGTTTTCATTACTTTAACATGTTACTTTTTTTTTAAATATGAAGGTCAAATTTTAGTTTGTGGATGTTTTAATTTTGGAATGTTAAATTATTCTGTATTTTTAGAACCTGAATCAGAACCATTTCCATTGCCTTTTGCTACTGCCTTATTTTCGTTTCTGTATCATCTGGCAAGCTATGAAAGTGGCAAGTATTTTTATTATTTTATTTGAAATAAATTTAAAGATAAAAGAGTTTTAGATTATCACATAATTTTTTGGTATCTATGAAAGATCGTAATTTTTGTTTATTAAATTTATTAGCTCTAAAAAGTGTTGGTAAATAACGAGTTATTGAGAACATCATATGGTACCATTAAAAGTGAATTTTTATTGCTTAGAGAAATGTGGCGTGCTGACATTTTCATAATATAGTTTATTGTATTCTTATCTTTATATACAGTACAAAGTCAGAGATCCGAACTTGTGGGGACTTCAGTGATTTGGGATTTTTCCAGATATTAAATAATCAGTTTAATGCTTGTAAGATGACATGTAGAAATTATAAAATTAAAAATATGAAATCATGATTTATGAAATGATGAAGCATTTATGATGTAAAGTGTGTCAAAATTTACAAAAAAATTAATATCTATTTGTTTACTTTATTAAACATTTCATTCAATGTAAGCTGTTTAAATTGCTTTTTTTGTGCTAATAATTTCTGTTTAATTCTCTAAACAGACATCTCTTGTTCAGTTACATTGTTCAAGTCATGTAATTGCTGTGTTGAGAATTCCGACTATCTTGTCAATTGAAAATTATTCGTTTTTGATAACCTCGCTATTTCACTTTTGTCACTATAAGTAGCAGTATTTTCTGGATAACTCCATAACCATACTCCAGATTTCACTGTCCATTAATTTATTGATAATTGGGTCATTGTCATCACAATCAAAAACTTCTGCGATATCATCTTCCATTATTACCACTTCTCCACATCTGCTATATCATCTTCATTTATAACCATTTCCCCACATTTCTTTAGATAATCCATTAATTGGAAAATTTAACCTTTGGTTTGCGATATCTGAAAATCTTCACATTCACAGATATCATCTTCATCATCCTCACGATGAAATATGCTAGCTTGGCCATAAATTATGCCAAGCAGTTCTGGAGACACATTGTTCCCTAATCTTGCGATGCTCCACTAAGCAGATTTTACCTGATTATATTTCAAAATGTTTTAATAGTCTTGCCATTATTCAAAAAATGTAACATAGGTTTTAAAAAATTTTTATATTTGCATTTTCAGTGCATCCTTATACAGATATCCATAGGCTGAATGATGGATGTACAATTTGTAGGGAAGATTAATACAGATACATTATCTTTCAGTAAAATTTTAAGTGAAGTATGGGCCAAAACATTGTCTACAATCAGACAGTTTTTGCATCATCGTGTAAACCAACCGAATTCTCCGAGCCGATGGTATGAAATGATTCTCAAACCAACCATTGGTTAGCAATTGTGTCAACCGTGTTCTTTTATTTGCACAATACATAAGGAGAAACTCTTTCCTTTAAATTTTTGAGGCCGTGTATTTTCCCAATTACAAAAAGTTTACACTTGTGTGTTCCTTCAGCATTTGTGCATGCTAAAATTGCTAGTTTTGCTTTGGAATTTTTGACACCAGCTGTAGTCTTTTCTGTAGAGGATGCCAAGGCATTTCACGGTACATATTGCCAGAAAAGACCAGTTTAATTAACGTTGTAAATTAGTTCTGGAGATAATTTTTCATTTCACGGTACATATTGCCAGAAAATACCAGTTTAATTAACGTTGTTAATTTGTTCTGGAGATTACCAGTTTCATCAGCTTTGTAAATTTTTTCTGAACGAAATCATCTGCAAATAGTTTAGCAGCTTCAGTATCAGCTGAAGCTTTTTCACCTGAAATTCATAATTCCCTCATACCATGGCGATTTTTAAATTTGGTTAACCAGCTTGTTGAATATCTGCACTCCATTAATTTCTTATTGAAATATTTTAGCTTGAGCTATTGGCATTGGACCTGTAGGCAACAATTATTATTGGTCATAATAACTACAACTACTTCTACTAGATATTAACTACTACTTCACTATCACTTAGCTTAAAGTGTTCACTATCGTTTAGCATGACTGAAATCAACAATGAGTTATCGCTCACTACAAAGAATAACAAAGATGTTATAATACAAGAAAAATAATCTTGTGTATGTTTTTTGTTGTTTAAATTATTATAAAAAAGAACTTTGCAGGCAACTACATTCTTGGTGACCTCGGAATTATTGATAAAGATGTCAGAAACTGAAGAATCGGCGACTAAAGAAGAAATAGCTTGGGTAAGAGTGAAAATTCCCAAAAACCAGAAATATGGTTTTACCAAGTAGAAGCGCAGTTTTCTATTTGTAGAATAACTGTCAAGGAAACTTAAGTTCAACTACTTAATTTCATAATTGGAAGCAAAATTTGTTTTGTGGGATATTATAAATGACAATAGCAAAGCCAAATAATATACTGCTGCTAAAGAACGTCTCTAGAACACTTTTAAAGAAAGTGAAAATAAACGTCTACAGAGACTGGACTAGGAGATAGACTAGGAGATAGCAACCTAATCAACTTTTACAAAAAAGTGACCTAGTTATACTAGCCTAGTCAACTTTTACAAAAAATGCGAAACCTTGCTACTGATGGCATTTCAGATAAAATTCTTAAAACAATATTTCTGCAGAAAATGCCAGATTCTGTGCGCAATATTTTAATCGTTAGTGATGAATGTATCGTAAAACTGGCTCTATTGGCCGATTGTATCATCAAAATGCAACCGAAACAAGAACTATACTGTGCCAGCAGTATTTTTTCTCCAGGAGCAGATGCTATTACTGAATTACGACAACAAATTGCAGCTTTGGATAATAAACTCGAAAAACTAAGTGTCACAAGGAATTCTCATCCTCGCTCAAGAAATAGCAGTCAATCTTCTAATGATCGAAGTACTGTTATTTCCACTTTCGTTTTTGGGAAAAGTTTTTTGGCCTACCTAAAAAAATTATAGATGCAAAGGCCCCTGTGCATGAAAAACAACTTGCCAGAAAACCAAAATCAGCAGTAGAATTAGTGGCAGGCTCTGCTGCTGTAAATACAGAAAATTGCCATACAGACAAAGAAACAGGTTTACATTTTCTAGTTGACAGTGGAGCAGAGGTAAGCCTTATTCCTCGTACTTCTAAACACAAACTTATTAGTGACTAATAATAAGTGTGCTGCAGTAATGCTGCGAATAATACAGAAATCATTACTTTTGGTACAGAAGTTTTAATTCTTGATCTTGGTTTATACCGAAAATTTCAATTCTCATTCATCGTAGCAAAATTTCATAACCCATATTAGGTGCAGATTTTTTAAATAAGTTCAATTTATTGATTGATATAAAGCATGAAAGGTTAATTGATGATGTGATGAACCTAGCAGTTTATGGTGACATTACACTCATCTATATTAATAAAAGTGTAAATACAACGGGCAGCTTATGTAAATATTCTGATTTATTTGCTATGTATTCTAGTATAACAAAACTAAATTTTCCTATTTCTATTGTAAAACAATGTGAAACATATTATAACTAAAGGACAACTGGTAAAGCAAGATAATTAGAACCTAAACGGTTGGAAATAGCTAAATGGGAATTCAAATATATGCTAGACAATAACAACATTAGTCCATATAATTCAGAATGGGCAAGTCCCATACACATAGTGACAAAGAAAGGCGGTTCTTTCCACTCGTGTGGGGATTACAGAAGACTGAATGATTTATCTCTACCTGATTGTTATCCCATTCCTTGAATTGAAGATTTTCAACATATTTTAACTCGTTAAACTATATTTTCTAAAATTGATCTCTTTAAGGTGTATTTTCACATTCTAGTAGCAGACGAAGACAAAGAAAAAACTGCCATTATCGCACCTTTTGGTCTTTACCAATTCAATGTCATAAGTTTTGGTCTCAGATATGCCCCACAACCTTTCAGAGGTTCATCAATGAATTTTTTATGGCTTAGACATAGTGTTTCCATATTTGGATGATGTGTTGATTGCCTCTTCTTGCGACGAAGAACATTATTTACATTTTAAAACAGTTGTCCAGCGTTTAGATGAATATGGTCTCTGAATTAATAATAGCAAATCAGTTTTGAGAGTACCTGTAATAGACTTTTTGGGTTATTAAATATCTGCTGAAGGCTCAAAACGTCTACCTAAATTTGACAAAAGTATGGAAACAACCTAGTTATTAGTTATTTAAAAAATAGCTGAATATGATTTGAAATTTTTTTTTTAAAATTTCTTTAAACAGTACAACTCGAAAGAATATTGTTAAAATAATAGGGAAACAATTCATTGTATTTGCAAGGTTGCTGAATTGCCTTATATTTCATGAGTAGATTTTGCTAGATGTACTGGGTGTTGCCAGCCTTGACAATCCTGTGCCGTAGATGCATTTTGAGGTGGTACGGTTTTACACATGCAGCAGTGTGTTAATTATCCTTTAATCTTATTCACTGGGTTTAAATACTTATGAATTTTCCTTCTTTTTCAAAATAAAGTTAAGCTGAAAGGGAAAAGGATTTAGCTGTGTTATCTAAATACAAGAACCGCCAACAGGTTTGAACACAGCGATTAAAATTGTTTGTTAAGGGCTTTGCAGTTATGGGAATGGCATACAATGTTTACATTGCACTGAGGACTTGCATAAAGAATATAGGGCAAAATGAGGTGTAAAAGAAGTTAATATTTTAAAAGAAATTTTATGAATTTTTGGGTATCATTATCATGTTGGATTTATGTGTCGTGTCTTAACATGAGGTATATCATTATGAATTAAGGTTAGAGTAATCCACTTTAGAAACCATCTTTATTACAGTAATAGCAATTAAATTTCACTTTAAGAGTTAGCCTGTTTAGTGGCTAAAAATGTGAGGTGTAGTAGTCATTCCGGGTTTTGTGCCAAACGGTTGGAACATGTTTTTTGATACTAAGCTTTCTTTGTTTATAATGTAGCCAGTTTTCCTTAATAATTCTTCCACAGAGGAATCCTTTTCGATGTACCAAAAACTTTAAAATAACCAAGTAATTCTGTCACATTAATCGCGTTGATTCATTGCAAATATAACAATACTTGTTAGTGTGTGTTCTGTTTTATGAAATTTTTTTGCCTATTTATGTGAACTATTTTTAGCTTCATACTTATTTTTGTAAATTACTAATTTCAGGTGGTGAAGCTCTTGTGTCTTGTGGAATGATGGAGTCATTGTTGAAAGTGATTAATTGGCATAGTACTGAATCTGAACATATTACAGTAAGTGTAAAAATTGCTGTCTGGAGAAGTGTTCATTAACTGATGTAATAATTGCAAGCTGTTGCTTTGATTGCTGTGGCAGAAAACTATAAACTGCACTTAGAAATATATTGACATCACTGAAATAGTTATATCTGCAAAAATTAACAATTTTAAATTATGATGCTGGCACAAAGTTAACATGTTTCACTGCAGCTGGTTCACTAAATAAATTGTAACAAATTAACTGTATTTCCGTTCACTTTTATTTAATTACACTAATTCTCAATATGAAATAAGTAATGAAAATAAGTGAGCCATTCTACATGGCTGTCACAGGCACTATATTCTGTCAGCCACTAGTTTTGTTGCCACTTCCAAAAATTGGAAACAGAGAAACGCATTCTACAATGATAAATCATAGATAAATTAACTTCAGCTTGTGGTGAGAACTGACTGATGATTCATCCATCAAATAAACAAGTGATCTTAGATTTTATACGCTGCTTGAAATACTTGCATGGACATTCTGGCCCCCATTGAATCCCAAGGGATTTCAACATTTGGTGATTTTTGTAACTTCACATTTTGTATTGAAAATGCCATTAATAAAATGTAAAATAAAACTAATACAAAATACAAAATATTAGATGTGCAGTTCACAGATTTTAAGTTCGTATAGTAAGAGGCTATTTCACAGTTGGTCGTTTTATGACACCATGACCAGTTTTAATACTAAAAATTTTTGACTCTGGTCTGCGCTTGAATGAATAGGAATTATTTTTCCAAACCTCCATTTAAAAGGTTGAAAATTCTCTTCCTTGATGAGAACCAATTCATTGCCATCTTAATATTTCTGGCTTTTTTGCCACTTTGTTCTTTGCTGAAGTGTAGACAACTATTCCCTACTCATATTTTCCAGAATTGTTGAAAAATGAACTGTCTCGTGCCATCTATCAAAATGATTCAAGGAACTGCGATTTAGGCTTTTCGTTCCAAAGATAGATGTTTTGCATCTAAAGCTAAAAATATTTCCCTCAATTCACCAGCTGTGAAGGCTAAACCACGTACTTGTATCCTAATTTCCAAGGGGAAAATTTTTCTTGTATTCCTTAGTCTCTCATCTGAAATTAACAAAGAACTAAAGAATAAAAGCATGCTTTCAAATCAGCAGTTTTTCTATTGCACTAAGAAATGGACCTAAAGTGCATTTCAGTTTCCTGTACTTTTAGAGCTTTCTCTTTGTGTGATGTTATCACAGTCCCTTTGTGAAGGTGGCATAACCCCTCTGTGACAAATTTGTTGTCCAACCAGTCATTTTTGCTGCATTGAGATTTTGGAAAACCTGAAACGAAGAATGTGTTTGGGGGCTAAAAATGCCACATTTAACCTCTACAGTTGTGTAACGTTTTTTGATGCCAGACGAGTCTTTCTCATGGGAAAGGGTTGAGTCTTGATATTAAAATTTTCGCTAAACAGAGACGGATGAGAAACTCGAGTATTGTAAACAAGGAATAAAACGAAACCAATATACTTGTATTCAGTCCTAGTATAGGGTCATTAAACTTTCCATACACCTATGAAAATAATACTGAATCTGAAACAACTTGTAAATTAATCATAAGCAAATTATTGCATCATAAACTATTATAATCTAAAGAAATTCTGTCATCTCAGAGTAGAGAAGAAGCCTGGTGCTGCCATCTATTGGCAAGGTACCCTCAGTAGGGGTATATACCGGTATTAAAAACATACACATAATCAATCTTCTTTTAATTATCAGTTTTGGATGAAATGCAGTAAGTATAAAAGGTTCAGCATGTGCGTGTCATATATTTGACGATTGTTAATTTTTTCCTACCCTCCAATGGAATTTATGAATACTCAAACATGATACCTTTGAAAGAGGTATATTAATTTCATAACTGCAAAATATTGAGTAGAAACGTATGATTACAGCTTTTGGTATAGAAAAATTAGCTATTTTTAGGAGGTTAAAAATTTGACAAACATCCGGTATATATTATATACCTGTGCTCTTCAAAGGGCTAAATAATATTTGTTCACGTCCTGCATGATGTTTGATCATCCTGAAAAATCTACTTAGTTATCTTCAACTTCTGGTGGGAGCAGACTAATGATAGACTTACGCTGCTCATAGTCACGTGATCAAATGCTGTTAATGATATTTAGCGAGAAAATGTTGCATGACAAGAAAGTGAGAAGCTGGCATGGTATGTCAAATATCTGCCGTGTTGCTAAAATTATTTTAAATCTTATTTTAAAAAAATTTTATTGAATTAATTCTCTTTTGATGGCATACATTAGCAGACATATACAGTACAAAATCCGGAATCCATACACCTGATATCCAGAATGATCTGAAATCCCCCCCCCAAGAAATTTGTTTATGCTTTACATTTGCCAATTTGATATTTTTTCATAATAAAACGTGGTCAGTCTCGCTTCTTAATTTTTTTTTTCCAGCACTGTGACACCAAACTGGCAAATTATTTATTATTAGCCCAAAGGGCATTGGCCAAGTAGGGCTATCAATTTTGTGTTATAAACTTCAAATGTTGGTTAACTTTTTCAAACTGTTGTTTCTCACATTGTGCTAAAACAATGGTACCATCAATTTTGAATAACGTAATCTTCTCCTGAACATAAGCATCTGGAAACCCTAATTTGGAGTTTATTATCTATTGTATATTTTATAAAACTTTAACGAATTTTTGAGTAGCAAACTCAACAATATCAAAGCGATCAATGGCAACACTGTAGGGGAGAAAAAGCATTTTTATTTAAATTGTAAAGATATGTTCATTTTATAGTTATTTTGCAATATTTTGTTTAGGGAATTTTATGTGTAAGTACGAAGAACATGATACATAATAAAGGAAGGTAACCCACAAAACGCTTAAAAATGGCCCGTTTGGGTGTAATGTAAAATCTGAAAGCTGTCTGATTTTTAATTTATTATTATTATTATTTTTGCTTTTTTCACCACTTTAACTGTCTCCACATTGTAGCTTGAAAAATTGCTCATGTAATGATGTCTAAAAAGTTTTTAAAAAATATTTGTAATCAAATACCAAAGAACACTGCAAACTTTTATGTTGGCATTAAGTTTAGCGATAATTATATATTTCAGCTAACTTTGCTGCAAAGTATTGAATGTGTTGAGGAAAAGAAACTTTATTTCAAATGCAAGAAATACATTTTGTATATGGAGAACTCATAGGGAAAAATATTGCATTTAGTTCTGTTTGAATGTAGAGTGATTAATTTGTTTTTCAAATAAGCTAATACCAATGCCATGGCTGGTATGGCCACACGGAAAGCCAAAATTTAAGGGAGGCATATTTAAGAGAATCACCAAGCAACAAAATTAATGGATGGCAAATTCTTTAGGATTTAGAGTAGGTACAAGCATTAAGGATACTGACTAAGCACTGGATTTAACTCTCTATCCCAAGGTGGCAGAGAGAAAAGTTGGCGTAGTTGTGATCATGTGATGTAGAATTCACGAAGCACACATTACAAAATTTTGTTAGTCTTGCAATACACTGATGCACCGAGTTGAAATCTGAAATGTTGCTGTATGCGTTCTGCTGATTATCATTCTACAATTATGAATTTTGATTTTTTTTTATTCTGAATATTAAGATTTATAAACAGTAAATTCATTTTAATAAGTATGCAATTTATATGAAAAAATGTGTTACTAAATTTAGAAGTGAGTAAAATTAAGCAAATTTAATTCATTAATGGTATAGTTTGATATTTATGTAACTTGATAACTTTTTAATATTATATGCTAAATTGTAATTTATATAAATTTTTTGTTATTTTATTTCATATATGAACTGCATAAAAGCACTGCGTATTAGAATTTTTATTTCTTACTTTGTCATGCACTTGGAAAACAAGGAGTATATTAACCGCTTGCCTGATTATCCCGAGTTATCTCGGGTTCGTATATGTTGCAGTTAATTATTATCCCAAGAAAACTTGGGCGAAGCAGAATTTGTTAGTACGATTTCTTTTATCACGGTTTTACTAGGTCTGGAGGAGATGAAAGGAAATATTCAGCTTTGATTGGCAGTTTGCCAAATTTTGTTGGTTGCGCGGTTCTTTTGGAGGGACTGGTCGCATGTTTCCCTATTGCATAGTATACGTTGGCTTGTGGATTAGTAATGTATAAAGAAGGATGAATGCGTTGGGAAAAAAATAAATATCGATGATGCAAGATAGCGAAAGCGATGATTTTTCAGATAGTGATTATGAAGATGTGGGGGGGGGGAAATCAAATCTAACGAGACAGTGTACTCTGTGCTCCCGTGAAAGAGCTTCCAGCGGTAAGCCAGTGAGAAAAGAGACCAGATACCAGTGTAGAACGTCAGGTATCACTGTGTTGTCCCTTGTTTCAAAAACAATCATACAAAGATTAATATTTAACTATTTTCGTTTGCCCGAGATAACTCGGGATAGTAAACTAATATTAAAAATAAATGCTTTTACACCTTCAAAAAAATTAAAAATTCAACTTAAAACCTACAAATTTTGATTTGTTTCGTTTTGTTGTATTTAATAATAAAATAAAAAAAAAATGTGATGAATTTTTGCAATTTTTTTCAAAAAAATTTGTAAGGGAAGCGGTTAAAAAGGATCTTCATATCTTATAATTTTTTAAAACATTTTTAAACAAAATTACCAGTTTAAGTACTTAAATTCTTAGCTTGTGAGCAAAATTTATCAATTGTGCATACCCCAATTTTATTATGTGCTTTTCTTCACTAGTGCAATTTAAAAACTATTGTCCTGATTACTAGAATTTTTAAAATACACTGTTACGAATTGCTGTGCTTCTTATCCTGCTGTTTTGTACATTGATTCTAAAGTACTTTTACATATTCGAATCATTTCTAATGATTTTGCGGCATGATCCAATTCAGTAATTTAACAATTGCTGTTAGGTACTTTACTATTATTAGTATTTTAGCTTATGTATTTTTGACTGATTTTGATCTTTTGTCCTAGTTTGTCACCAGAGCTGTTCGTGTTATTGATTTAATCACTAACTTGGACATGCAAGCATTTCAGACTCATGGAGGGCTTGCAAGCTTTATTCAACGTTTAGAGGTACGTAAGTTTTCTTAACTTCTTTGTTACAAATTCATACAAAAAACTGCCATTTTTAGTTTTTTATCAGTATGAAGTGTTTTGACCATGTGGAAAAGTTAGGGAATTAAAGAAATGGAAAATCAGCTAAACTATGTACTTTTGGAAAAAGTTGAGGAAAGTCTGGAACTTTACAAAAAAAATTCAGGGAAGTTAAGGGGAAAATTGCACAGATCTGTCCTCTCGTATAATCAGTTTGTACCTTAAATATGAACGTATAAACTAAACTTATCTGTATTAATTAAATAGTTACTGTTGTAAATATGACCTATTATAACCCCTTTTCTGCATCATCTCTCCTCCTTAAATCAGTTCTAACTTTTACATGAGGTTTAGTTTTTGTTTTAAATTGATATAGTAATTACTTCTACTTCTTTTCACTGCCACAATTTGTATTAAGAACGGACTGTTCCAGCCTAATTAAGATGCAGAAACGAAACTCTATGTTCCATCATCTGGAAAGCTGAGTCGTGCTGACAGCTGATTGGCTGCCATGAGATGACGTCATATCTACTTCATGCATAAATATCTCGCATCGCTCTGTCTTAGGCGTTCTTGTTCCTGTTTTCATTGCTCCTGGTCTGCTGTTCCAGCATTCATTCGGAGACGATCTTGCGATGCGTGTCGACCAGTGATAACTACCGCGGTACCTGGCCATGTTGGTTTTCCAAGGTTAAGCAGCGTTGAATCCGAAGTTGTGGTTCCCGGTGATCAACTTCCGTGGGCGGCATTCTTTTTCCAAGGTTAAGCGGCATTGAATCTCAAGTTGTGGTTTCTGGTGAGCAACTGCAATGGGCGGCATCCTGTTCCAAGATTAAGCGACAATAAATCTCGTTATGGTTTCCAGTGAGTAACTGATGAAGGCGGCATCATTAACACCAGTGTTTTTCAGATGTAGCGGTGATGTTTTTCCAAGTTGTGATTTCCCGTGAGTGGGATTTACCAATTGAAGTACATTAAAGGTTTAATTTTTGTCAGGTGCCTTCTTGGCCAAAGCATAGACCTATTTAGTCAAGCAAAATTCAACTTAATAAGTTTTGTTCTGTGATATGTTTTTTTTTTTTGCGAGATATCGAATGCCAGTATTCATAGAACAGGTAATATATTTCTTGGTATCATTAATAGTGTAATAATTTTTAAAGGGAAAACCCCTTGGGGTTTAATGAATAGTGTAGTTTTTGACAATGATTATGTTACACTCTTAACTTTAAGTTTTCTGGTATTGATCAAATTTATTTATTGTATTTTAATTTTTATATATATATATTGTTAATAAATTGGTTAAGTTTAAAACTTTTGTCATCTATGTCTGCACAGCACATAATCTTAGGGTGCTTCTATTGCAATAATTATTTCTGCTAAATATTTTCTATAACTTTAAACTTTGCTTTTGCATCAGTTACTATAAAGTTTTGTACACAGTAGTTTACTCATCTCTCGTGATGCAGGTTATCAACCTTTAATGTTTCTGTCCACCTTTTAATGAGCTGGGTTTCATTCTGCTATACAGTGTTCCCTTGCCACTTCGCGCTCCATGTTTTGTGACTTCAGTGCTTCGCAGGTTTTTCCAAAATATTCATCAAAAATAAAAATGAAAAATACAACCAACCAAAGAGATGAGTCGACTCAAGAGTACATAATACCACGGGCTCTCATAAATACACGTGATTGGTTTCCAGTGTGATATCAACCAATGAGAGTACGAGTGGATTTATCCCTGTGAGTTGATTGTCTGCGCATCATCCCAGCCTCACCAAGCATATTCTCTTGTTATATCTTGCCAGTCCTGTCCATGCTGTTGACTGTCTCGCATACTGTATTTTAGTGTTGTGTTGGCAATAACTTTTTTATTAAGCCCTTATAATGCCGCCTAAGCGCTCTGCCCCTGTGAAAGCGTTCTCCGGGCCACCCAAGAGGAAGAAGATGATGACCATCAGCGAAAAAGGGAAGTTTTTAGATATGTTCAAAGAGGGCAGAAGTTATGTATCTGTGGCATGCCATTACGGGGTGAATGAATCTACAGTGTGGTACATCAAGAAAGAGGATGCAAGCATCCGCAAAACTGCTTTAATAACCTTCAATAAAGAAGCGAAACGTGTCTTAACTCCGCATAATAACAGAATTGTAAAAATGGAAGCTGCACTGGCATTGTGGATTGCTGATTGCAGGAAAAAGACAGTGAGTTTGGACACTAATATGATTAGGACAAAGGCCAAAGCTCTCTACGACTAAATCTTGCCCGATGATGACAATGAAGAGGCTGAAGAAGGTCCTAATGAACCTCAAGCCAGTAATAGCATTGCCAGGACTGATTCGCCTCCTCTAGGACAAGGCTTTTCAGCCAGCAAACGTTGGTTCGAAAAATTTCAAAAAAGATACGGCCTCAGAAATGTGCTTCTGTAAGGTGAGGCTTCTTCTGCTGACAACAATGCTGCTTGTCGTTACATGGAGGAAGAGTTTCCTAACCTCATCAGCGATGCAACAACTTGCACAAGACATTGACGACAATATGGCTCGAGCTGTCTAATTCAGCAATCGCGTTGACGGGGCACCTTGTTTTTCTCCAAGGTAAAACCCCGGCTCTACCGTCAGCGCCTCCAGCAGAAGAGTCTCCGAGTGAGCCTAAAGCTTTTATGAGTCAAGTGAGAGCCTCTCCTCCGCCACCAACACAAGACTCTTCGCCTCTCTCAGAAAGCAATGTTGACTAATGTTTATTACTGTATAAGGTTTTGTAATTAACCTTATTAATTAGCACTGACATGTTTAAGTAAATACGTATACTGTTGTAATTATTGCCTTAAATGTGTATAGTAAAATACTGTTTACATATTTGAAACATTCTTGTACCCGCATACACGAAAAATTCCTAGGGCCAAATCCTACTTTGCGGTTTTTCAGCTTTCGCGGAAGGTTCTGGTCCCCATTAACCACAAAAAATGAGGGATCACTGTATAGGAATATTACTGTTCTGTCATGGTGTAAATTTACACCATACAAAATTCAATAGAGTTTGTAAAAAAAGTTAAAAGTATTTCTCCTAGAAATTTACTAATGGTTTCTTTTGACGTAAAATCATTATTCATCAATATTCCTGTCGAAGGTGCATTAAGATGCATAGAAACCAGACTTCTTGAATTTAATTTCTTTCATTGAAATTAATGAGCTAATTTCCCTCACTCAACTCTGAAACAAATGCATTTTGTTTTCCATAATAATAATTACAAGTAAACTGAAGGATTTGTCTGCCACCCCCCTCAGTCCCATCTTGGCTAATATCTACATGCATTATTATGAATCAAAATTATTTGAAGCTTTAAACTTCTCATTATTGTTCCACTACATAGACGATACTTTTACCGTTTGATGGTAATAAAGATGATTTGAATAAAGTTCTTTCGACAATGAACTCCATTGATCCTGTATTCAGTTCACTTTTGAACTTGAGACTTACAATTCTCTCCTGTTCATTGACATTTTGGTCACACATAACACATCCAACCTTATTACTGTGGTTTACCGTAAACCTTCAGTTTACCTTTCACCACACTTCAAATCATGTCATTCGACTAAACAAAAGCTAGCTTCATTATATTCCTTTGTTTTCCGTGCACTTCACATTTGCTCTTCCAAATTGGCTCTTAAGAACTAAATTATTTAAAAAGCAGTAGCTATCGACAGGCTTTTCACCCAACTTTATTAATCAAGCAATTAAAAAATTCAATACACCAAAAAGGCACACTCTTGTTTTAGGAGATAAGAATTCTGTTGTCATTCCTTTCTTTCCATGAGTTTGCTATAAAATTGCACATATTTTACAGAAATTTAACTTTTGGGTCGTTTATTCTTCTATCAATAAAATTACAAGTTCCATACTCAAGGACCCCCTTCCGGATATGAATTCCTGGGGTATTTACAGGATTCCTTGCCAGTGTTGTTTAATTTACATTGGTCAGACTAAGAGAGCCTTAAAGTTTTGTGTTAACGAACATAAGGCATATGTTAGAAAAAAGGAAACACAGAAGTCCTTTTTTGCCCAGCATTTGGTAGTTCGAAAATCATACTTTTAATTTTTCTGCATCCAAAATTATTCAAAAAACATCTTCCATTGGTGAATTAGTTATTCTAGAGGCGTTCCACATTCAAAAAGTCTTTCTGTTCTAGTTAATAATCCTAATTCCAATAAATCTTTGCCTTAAGCCTTTAAGGAAAATATGTTTTAGTACTCGTTTCATCAATAGATGGCACCAGTAGCTTAACTCCTGTCCAGCCATTCTTATCTAATCACTGTATCTTATCTCGTTCATTTGTGCTCAGGCAGCTGAGGATGATGGTTTGGTAAAACCATTGAAACTAGACCTGTGAACATTTGCAAATATAACTCTGATTTTTCTTAATTAAGACACAATAACACGCCGAATAAATACTGATTCAGAAGTCAAACAACAAAAATCAGCGTTAATTCACAAAATTTTCACAGGACTAGTTTCGATGGTTTTACCGAACCATCATCTTCAGCTGCAAAACCGCAAATGAACAAGATAGGAAATAATGATTAGATAAGATAAGAAAGCCTGGACAAAATAAGCAAGTGGCGCCATCTGTTTGCGAAAAAAAAAAAAAAAAAAAAAAAAAAAAAAAAAAAAAAAAACAAAAAAAAAAAAAAAAAAAAAACCTAATTTCTCTAAAAGCCGAGGCAAATTTGGATTGGAATTAGGATCGTTAACTAGAACAGAAAGATTTTTATGAATGTGAAATGCCTCTAGAAAATCCAGTTCTCCAATGGAAGATGTTTTTTGAATAATTTTGGCAGCAGAAAAATTGAAAGTGTGATTTTCGGACACACTTTGTTTTCCAAAATAAATATTACAAGCAAACTGAGGGATTAGCCATGGGTAGCCCCCTCAGTCCCATCCTGGCTGATATCTACATGCATTATTATGAATCAAAATTGTTTGAAACTTTAAACTTCCCGGCATGGTTCCGCTACGTAGACGATACTTTTACCCTGTTTGAAGGTAATAAAGATGACTTAAATAAGTTCTTTCAACTATGAATTCTATTGATCCTGCTATTGAGTTCACTTTTGACTTTAGACTTGCAATTCTCTTCCGTTTCTCGACATTCTGGCCACATGTAACACATCCAACTTCAGTACTACAGTTTACCGTAAACCTTCATCATCGGTTTGCCTTCCACCACACTTTAAATCATGTCATCCGACTAAACAAAAGTTAGCTTCATTTTATTCCTATGTTTTCCGTGCTCTTCAAGTTTGCTCCTCTCCAAACTAGCCCTTGATGAAGAACTAAATTATTTAAAAGCAATAGCTATTGACAGGGGCTTTTCACCCAACATTATTAATCAAGCAGTTAAAAAATTCTCATCTCAACACACTAAAAGCCCACACTCTTGTTTTAGGAGATTATAAAAATTCTGTTGTCATTCCCTTCTTTCCATCAATTAGCTATAAAGTTGCACATATTTTGCAGAAATTTAACTTTCGGGTTGTTTATTCTCCCATCAATAAAATTCCAACTTCCTATACTCCAAGGACCCCATTCCGGATATGAATTCCTGGGGTATTTATAGGATTCCTTGCCAGTGTGGTTTAATTTACATTGGCCAAACTAAGAGAGCCTTAAAATTTCGCGTCAAAGAACATGAGGCATATGTTAGAAAAAAGGAAACACAGAAGTCTTCTGTTGCTCAACATTGTTGGTCCGAAAATCACACTTTCAATTTTTTCTGCTGCCAAAATTATTCAAAAAACATCTTCCATTGGAGAACTGGATTTTCTAGAGGCATTTCACATTCAAAAAAATCTTTCTGTTCTAGTTAACGATCCTAATTCCAATCCAAATTTGCCTTCGGCCTTTTAAGAGAAATTATGTTTTAGTTCTGGTTTCGCATCAACAGATGGCGCCACTTGCTTATTCTTGTCCAGGCTTTCTTATCTTATCTAAATCATTCATTTCCTATCTTGTTCATTTGCGGTTTTGCAGCTGAGGATGGATGGTTCGGTAAAACCATCGAAACTAGTCCTGTGAAAATTTTGTGAATTAACGCTGATTTTTGTTGTTTGACTTCTGAATCTGATTTTTCTTGTTTGACTTCTAAGTTAATCATTGTTCAGTGTGCTATTTTATCTTAACTTACTACTTTGTTTCATGAATATTGTTTTGTGACTTTTCAGGGGGGGTAAGTGTAATCATAAAGTACTGGGTCATGTCTTTTGGTAGACAATCATAATGAGTGATTTTTAAGGGACAGATTGATTCATCAACTAGTTTTCAATCTTTTTGCAAGATGATCTATTTTTCTTATCATATCTGATATAGCTAACGAAATTTTTGTCTCTTGAAGTTTGTTATGTTAGGGGGTTTTTGACTGTAAGCTCATTTTACTCGGTCATGAAATTTATTCCGTTGTTCATTGAAAATCGAGGAAATTTGAAAAGCAGAACTGTAATGGGAATCTTACAAAAGGAAGTCTAATTTAATGTATAATTAAAAAAAATGACATTGTGACATATGTTAAACATTGTAGTTGTTTCTAAAATTTCTATATCTATTTAATTTTGCATTTTTACTGGATATGTTGAGTAGAAAACAATAAATTATTCTAAATTATTTTTTTTCCTTATTAGATGGAAATTAATGTGTGCAGGCAAGATCAACCTTTTGTTATAAATCCAAAGCTTAACGAGCTCTCAGAACAAAATTCAGATGATTCAGATTGTCAGATTATTATGGAAGTTGATAATTATCCAGACAGGTATGGCATTTCTTTATAAATTATAACTGTGGGTAGATGGAATCATGTTGTGGAATATGTGCTGCAAATATAGTACTCTGCATTTGTGCTGTAAGCATGATGCATTGCATTTTCACCTTACATGTAATTGCTAAAAAAAGGCAATAAAATATTCTTTCCATGTATGGTGCATAATGCTGTGCATTTGAACATGATGATTCGTTACAAAGGCAATGGGCTTGACATATGCTGAAAAAATGGAAATTGGTTTGCCATATGCATATGCTGTATAATGAGCACTTTTAAAATAAGAAATAAGATTGCAATTTACAGGTGTTTGTTATATGCCAGATAATAGCAATTCAATTTTCACGAAAATAGAGAGGTTTCACAACCCACTGAATATTTTCACAGGGGCCTGTAAGACCTGACGTGCGCTTCGTTGGTTAAATAGTTTTCAACTGGCTACTTGAGATATTTCTAGCAATGTCTGCTTCTCGAAATTCCTGGAAAAAATAAGAGGATGGATTTACAGTTACAGCTAACATAGCAGTCAATTACATTTATTCAATTTCAATACAAATTACCGAGACGACCATTTACTCAATATTAAATGCACGTGCCCCTGTATTGTTAGTTTTTCTCGCATAGAAATTGTCTTATGCTGCATTGCATGGGGGAAATACAGCAATTTTAATTGTAATTCTATTAAAACTACTTATCTAAATGCGAAATTTATAACAATGTACTACATTTTTTTAAATGGCTTTTGAATTATGTTGAGCTTAATATCATTGCATGCTTTTATTGTCTACCTAGACATTCTTTCTAGATTTGTGACACATTTTGTCTCGAAATGGTGTAAATTTTGTAAATGTTTTTATCTGCACCCTTTCCACTGTCGTTTGAAATTTTCTTCACATTTAAAAACTAAACTAATGGCATTAATCTGCCTGAAATCAATGGCGTGTCTGCATTCTCTTTCAGTAACGTCTTATTCCTTAGACGAGATCAAACTAAAAGATTTTCTGGATTGTTTTACACATTGACTGCCATGACACTTTTCAGATTCTGGTTTGAGAAACCAAATCGATTTAATCATATTATTAGAATTGCTAATTATGATTTGTAACAATCATTAAAAAGTTTACAGGATTTTTTTTTTTGTAGGAAAAAGGGTCCTACGAATTTACTCAGTCTGCTTTTGTTAGACAAAGCTCTTCGCAGGAGCCTACTACGAGTTCATTCGCATGGACATGCTTTGACTCTTTGCCTCGGTACAGCTAAAACGAGCGCTAAGCGAGTAAGTAACTTATACTGGCGCAAAAGTGGAGAGTCAAGAAACTATGAAATAACTCATATTGGGTGTCCTGAAGGAGAGCACTAATAGGAGTTATCTCGTGTTAAGGACACATGATGCTTTTGCCAAAAATTTGTTCTCCACAGTTTCGTATCATTTTGTCCGTATCATTTCGTATCTTTTTCTCTTAAACATGAATGATAATACCGTCTGGCAAATTGCATTTTGGCATCTTCTAAATATAACCACGGATTTAAATTTTGTACTGTTCTGTAAATGGGAAAGCACTGTGGTGAATGGGAAAGCATTTTTTGTGACTTTTTTCTTAATGTGAACCATTTTTGTTCTTTTTGAATCAATTGTGTTATTTCCTACCATATCAAGCATTACTAGAGTTTCATACCTATTTGCAATATATGACCATAAATAATTCTTTTGCCTTCACCCAGTCTTTAACATAATTCTGGTAACTTATTAGTTTGTTGGACAAATCTTTCAGAAGCCTTTGCTAAATTTGTTTTTTTTTTTTTTTTTTTTTTTTTTTCTCTCATAGAACTAAATTATTCTGTGCCATAAATTAACTAAACCTACTGAAGGTTGCTTTAAATCTTTCACTTTCATTTGCATTTCTTTTTTTACCCACTGTAAATCAAACATAGCTGTTTGTTGTTACAGTTAGTCTATTCTGGCAGTTTTCTGGCCAGAATAGACTAGTTTCCAGTTTGGAACACTTTCTTCTGAGGTAGGCTATTTTGTTGCTCCTTTGTGCAAAGTGTCTTTATTTTGTGGCATATTAGTTACTGTGATGTAATTTTCTTCCCTTCATATATGGAGCTTTCAACTCCAAACATCCTTTTGCAGTACAATTTCTTTTGCAAATTGAATAACTTTGTATTTGAATACAGTGCTGTGTTGTTTCATTTGGCAGAAGCCATATCTGCTAAATGGAACACTAGATCAACTGTATTTCAGAATATAAATGTGATTATGCCTTTGATGTTCACTTCAAAATCATGGCTTCAAATAACTACTTACCCCCTTTAAGCATTTCCTCCATACCTGTCATAAATTCAGCATACATTGTTTGAAAGGCTGGGGAAAATCTTGGAATGAATAACTTGAAAAGATGCATAAAGAAACTTTATAGGGTGAATATACCTAAATATTGAAATATGTAGTTTAAATTAACAGGTGCACATTATACAGCAATATGGTATATATAAATATCTATAAACAAAAGGAAGGACTATTAAAAATCCTGCATCTAGACTGCAATGATTTAATTAAACATAAACAACTCCAACAAAGTATTTGAAATAAGAAAGCTAATAAAGAAAACTAAGAATTACAATTTGAAGACTATAAATTCGAATCTAGTTATAGGAAAGGGAAGAAAGAAAAATTTATTTTATTTGAATTATTGATTTTATTTAAAAGAATTTGAAATATTGTCAAACGAAAATTGACAGATGGAAAAAATTGCACTACAAGCAGTAGCACACTAATGCAGCACTACAAGCACACTAATGGAAATGCATATAAATTGAGATGGAAAATTTGCAAATGAAAATTGTAGCAGTATCAAAGAAAATTACCTGAAAATGAACTATTGAAAAGATAATGAAATAATACTGATGCTTCAGTGGGAATTTAGCTTATTTCATACTCTTTCCAACTGTTCAGACATCGTGTTTTGTCCTTATCAGATTGGCTAATCTACATGCACTTTCCAAATTTCACAAAGTTCCTGTTAAATTTAGATTTATTGTCAGTGGTACCAACAATTAAAAGAAAAATATTGATTACGTCTTTGTACAAAAGTTAAAAAAGATCTACACATTAATTCATAATTTAGTCAACAATTATAGTTGGATCACTAAGAATAACCTTGCCAGTAATAAATATTACTAAGAAAGCAAGCAACAGTGAAATACACTGCTATGATTTTAAAACCTTTATACAGCTTTACCTCTTGAAGACATTTTCTGCTAGAAATTCCAAAATGTTCACAAATTTACTTAATAAGCACACATTTTTAATTTTTCTTTACCCGAGAATATGAAAAATTTCAGCTAAGATTAAAAGAGCCGGAATTAAAACTGTTTGCCAATACCTATAGGTATATAGATGATATCATTGACAATAATAAGTGGTAGAAAAACTAGAAATCTAGCCTAGCCATTCTCAGACTTAATTTTTATAGAGAGGCAATAATGAAGTTTTTATAAAGGTGACTAGAATTCAATTTTTAAACTGTCTCGCAAGACAGGTCTATCTGACTTCCTTTTTCATTCATGCGTAATTTGCCACGTCCAGTGTTTGCTGAAAATGAATCTCTATTATCCACATATTCCCACGTCTAAGATCTTCTAGCTTTAGGTGATAAATATCAAAACATTCTCTCAGTGACTGGAAGTGTTATTGAGTTATGGATACCACTTGCTGGTTGAGATCATTCTCTCCCATATTTTCATTAAAATTTATAAGCATTTGTAGATTTCCTTCTACAGCATTTGCAACAGTGATATTTTTTGAAAAGCATCTATTTTACTCGTACTGTAAATACGTGCTTAAGTTGTCCTTGCATATGTTTAGTTTGGTTAACGGAGGAAAACCATCTGCCAGGTACGCAAGTTTGACTAATCTACTCAAATCGTCCGACAAGAGTTCTTGAAATGCCAGATTATTTTGCTGCTGAAAGTCTTGATTTCTTCGTGCTGTACGAATAGTCATGTCAGTATTTTGCTCCTTGATCTCACCTCTGTGTGAAGAAGTTGAGTATACTAGGAACCCATTTCTTCACAGTGTTTCTTTGCTTTAGTCCAGAATTAAGTGTTGAATTTCATTTGTGATGGTAATAACATCAGGTAATACTTGGTGTAGTTCTGGGGACATTTTTTTTTCACCACAAGATGGTCACTATGTGTAATGCAAGTGTGTAGACAGAACATTTGGGTGATTAACATTTTTCATCTTTGCAACAACTTCTGCGCGATGTCCAGTCATGTTTAGTGATTTCTTCAATTTTGGGCTTTAACAGTGTTAGCAGACTTATTACTTTCAGTTTCTGCATAGCATTTTTCCCCAAAACCTCTTCACAGTCTTTAATAATTTTTCTCTGATTGTATATGACCTTTTGTTTTTCTGTATTTAAAGTGCTATCAGATAGAAAGGCCTTTGACGTGGACTTATCTTAAACCACCATATTTTGAATGTATCTACTTATTTTTGCATATTTTCACACATTTTTTTGAAAATATTCAAGTAGTTTTTTAGCTAAATCTGGGTGTTTTCTTGTAAAGTGTTTTTCGAGTTTTGAAGATTTCATGGCATCATTAGATGAATTTTGAGAACAGGTAATATAAAAAGGCTAGGGATTCAACTAACTGTCAGGTTCTGGAATCCAAATTTCCAAAATCCAGAACGAAATTTCAAAATTTCCAGAATCCAAATTTCAATTATTCTTAATCACATTTTCTTATTTTGGGTTTTTTTCCTTGTGTCTCCAGTTTGAACATTCTTTCTAATGCTGTGACGAGGAACATGGATGCTTTGATTTATGATTTATCACCTCTCTGTAAAATCAAGTAATACTATTTTCGTTACTTATTCTGTATTTAGTTTTACTAAAGAAATGCAAGATATTCACTTGCTTTTTTTCATTCATTATGTGTCTATTATCTGTATTATTTTAATCTGAAAAACCATAAAAAATTAAATT